GTATAGACTTACACAATACAACCTATGTGAAAAAGAAAAAGAAAAAAAAAAGATAAAGATTTTTATTCTAGTACTTGCCTGGAGTTGACAGTGTTAGTCGATGTAGTGGTTTATAGAAGAAGGCAAAACAAAGTGTTGTAAAAAGTAAAATATTAACTTCATAGATAGTTCACATTTTTAGGCCACTGCAAAGTCATTGGGGACAAAAACTCAATCTGACACACGAGACAACATCATTGATCAAACATGCTCAGTTTCAAAGAGTGTACAAGAAGGTAAACAGCTTTCTTTTTTTTCTCAGAAGTAACGTTACCAGAGCTGTTCCAACATCTGTCACGCTATGTTAAAAACGCTAAATCAGTAAATAGTTTTAAATGTGATATTTAAACAAGTAACTTTAAGTCTAATGCTCAGTGGATACATACACATTATGCAGACACAAGCTTTTATCTGTACAGTGAACCATCTCACATCCACCACTGACTACATTACACACTGGGATCACTGTCATCAACCTTTAATCAATTTAAAGTAACAATATCAAAAAGAGTTGGTGTATTTTTGTACTTCAAAAACAAGCTTCTTTTGAGTATTGCAAAAATGTCTACTTTAATTACAGAAACAAGCCATCTGAACGACCCAGAAGCAAGTATGGAGGGAACAGAGAATGAACCCAACGTGAAGGTAAACCTGTGTGTGGCTCACCAGGATGAATCTAAATTAATTAGTAAATAACTATCAGAATGTAAATTGTCATATTCACAAATATGTGTCCTCCAATCTTTGCAGGGAAATGACAGGGAGAAAGCCTCTGACTCACGTGTTGATCGGAACAAAGGTCAGCCTCATGAATGTTGTTGGTTATATTACTGCCTTGGTATTTGAACTTAAATATTATGATTACAAGACCACTCCCTGGACAGTCTGAAAGTTAGTAAGATTGTAATGAGGGCTCGACCCAATTGTTAACAAATGTAAAGCGTGCACAAAAGCAATAGAAACGGTATGTAAAGATTACAAGTCTGATTACAATGTTTACACACACACACACACACACACACACACATACATATATATAATATGGCATGTCATTCAGGAAATGAATCCATAAATATATATATACAGAAAGTCTGACTATATAAACAAAGATTTGAAGCCTGATCGGCCACACTACCCTTATCGGGGTGGAGCTATGCCTGCTACCACTGGCCAGGCTCCATGTTGTGCCCACGTAATGGGGCGTTTCTTTATTCACTCTTCGTTGGTTGTCTTGTCCTTTTTTTTGTTTTTACGGGCCACGCTTCACTCGCACCGCAGAAGAAAGCGTGAACAATCGAATACAGAACATATTTGCCACTAGTCGACAAGGAACCTGTGAACAAATCAATATTTTAAAGACAACAGTACACTGCGTCATATGACAGCTATCAAACAAAATATCTTCAAATAAAAGTTAACATAAAGCACTCCTTGCATTACTCTTGCTCTTTTCTTTTCTGAAAGACGCAAGTAATTGATCATCAGCACAATGGACAGCGTTATCAAATAATAACATATAGAAATAATATGCATTATTTCTAAGTTCGTATAAGTTCGTAGAGCCCGTAACTCAATGCTATCTCAAATCATTTTAACCATAAGAAATAACAGAAAAAAATATTAGTATTATAGTTTATAAGGATTCCTGTGATATAAAATAAAATGTGGTTTTAATCATGAGTTCTTACCCTTGAGACAGACGAAACAGCAGTGGCTAATGGCGGCATGTGCAGAGGAGGAGGAGGAGGGAGGAAGGGAGGGAAGAGAGTTAGCCCGTACGTTGACACTTGATTCTGTAGCGTACCTTACACCTACACTACGTAACTTACATAAACGTAAAATTAACTTGTTTTTTTACTTTTCTATTTTTTTGCTTTTTTTGATTTGTATTCTTTCTTTAGTGGGCACCACACTTTTACATTTATCACATTTATCATCAATTTCACGCTTTATTTCCACGGTCATCATGCGTTTCTTCTTCTCACCATCATCCTCACCTCTTCACTTTCTTAGGACTCATCAATATTATGAAGAATAATGCACAAAATAGAGAGAAAATCACGTAGATAACGCAAAAACAATACGTAAGACTCGCGGGTGATGAGTACGGAAGTCGACGAAACACGGCTGCTACGAGTGCTCTGCCACCTAGCGTTGGCTTCTGTACGCGTGCTTGTATCTCAAATCTTTACTTGTACCTCAAAGCAAAAATTTGCTTGAAAGCTTTCTCGTAACTCGAGGTTCCACTGTATTACCAAACAAGTATTTACAACGAATTACAACCTCTTTTTTTTAAATCACCCTTATATTATCATTACTTTATTCTGAATCCCCCACAACAGTGAGCTTAGATTTTTAACCATTTTATGACTGCAATCTGTTCTTATTCTCTTAAACACATTTATTACATTTTGAATTACACAGCATTCACTGTTTTCCTTTGGAATACTTACNNNTACCCTTATCGGGGAGGAGCTATGCCTGCTACCACTGGCCAGGCTCCATGTTGTGCCCACGTAATGGGGCGTTTCTTTATTCACTCTTCGTTGGTTGTCTTGTCCTTTTTTTTGTTTTTACGGGCCACGCTTCACTCGCACCGCAGAAGAAAGCGTGAACAATCGAATACAGAACATATTTGCCACTAGTCGACAAGGAACCTGTGAACAAATCAATATTTTAAAGACAACAGTACACTGCGTCATATGACAGCTATCAAACAAAATATCTTCAAATAAAAGTTAACATAAAGCACTCCTTGCATTACTCTTGCTCTTTTCTTTTCTGAAAGACGCAAGTAATTGATCATCAGCACAATGGACAGCGTTATCAAATAATAACATATAGAAATAATATGCATTATTTCTAAGTTCGTATAAGTTCGTAGAGCCCGTAACTCAATGCTATCTCAAATCATTTTAACCATAAGAAATAACAGAAAAAAATATTAGTATTATAGTTTATAAGGATTCCTGTGATATAAAATAAAATGTGGTTTTAATCATGAGTTCTTACCCTTGAGACAGACGAAACAGCAGTGGCTAATGGCGGCATGTGCAGAGGAGGAGGAGGAGGGAGGAAGGGAGGGAAGAGAGTTAGCCCGTACGTTGACACTTGATTCTGTAGCGTACCTTACACCTACACTACGTAACTTACATAAACGTAAAATTAACTTGTTTTTTTACTTTTCTATTTTTTTGCTTTTTTTGATTTGTATTCTTTCTTTAGTGGGCACCACACTTTTACATTTATCACATTTATCATCAATTTCACGCTTTATTTCCACGGTCATCATGCGTTTCTTCTTCTCACCATCATCCTCACCTCTTCACTTTCTTAGGACTCATCAATATTATGAAGAATAATGCACAAAATAGAGAGAAAATCACGTAGATAACGCAAAAACAATACGTAAGACTCGCGGGTGATGAGTACGGAAGTCGACGAAACACGGCTGCTACGAGTGCTCTGCCACCTAGCGTTGGCTTCTGTACGCGTGCTTGTATCTCAAATCTTTACTTGTACCTCAAAGCAAAAATTTGCTTGAAAGCTTTCTCGTAACTCGAGGTTCCACTGTATTACCAAACAAGTATTTACAACGAATTACAACCTCTTTTTTTTAAATCACCCTTATATTATCATTACTTTATTCTGAATCCCCCACAACAGTGAGCTTAGATTTTTAACCATTTTATGACTGCAATCTGTTCTTATTCTCTTAAACACATTTATTACATTTTGAATTACACAGCATTCACTGTTTTCCTTTGGAATACTTACTTACAAATATAACCATGACATATGCAATCTACGAACGAAGATTGTATACAGGGGCTGTTTTATGGGCAATAGTGATGTGTCGTTCGTGAGTGATTTTTCACTTTCATGACTCGTGACTCCCGAGTCATACAAAAGATTCGTGACTCCCAAGTCATATGAAAGATTTGTTCATGCTGAACTCACAAATCACTCACAAATCACTCACTGTGAACTAATCTAATTGATGAGAAACTATATATTCAGGCATCCGTTATATATATATATATATATAT